GTTTTAGCAGCTGGTCACTGGAGAGAGAGATTGAGCAGGTTGCAAGATGAGCTTCTGTCTTGGGGAGGACAGGGGTTTCTGAATTCATATAATATCAGTGGAAATTGGCTGTCAGTCTTTTGGACCCTCTTGGTAACACCCAGAGTTGGTCAAAGATCTTCACTCTATGTCCTGGAGCCTGTGGAAGGCACACTGGGAAAGAGTAGGCCCATCCTAAGTACAAAGCCCCAAGAAGGATGGAGCAGGATGCAGGGTGGAAGAAACAGGGAATCTGGCCCCTTAATTTCTGTATCTTAGGATTCTAAAGAAAAGGATGGAGTCCTGGTGTGGTGCTGTGGGCTAATGCGCCAGACTGTAAAACCGTTTGAACTACAATGTCGGTGGTTCAAGCTCACCAATTGCTCCTTGGAAACCCTATACAGGGTCGCTATGGGTTGGAACCGACTTGACGGTACTTAACAACAACAACAACAACAAAAAAGGATACGTTATCTTGCTACATGGAGTGAACCATGAGCCCAACAGGTGGGCGCAGAGGGAGTTGAGAAGAAAATGACCACAAATAGCTCCATCTGTGAGAGCCTGCTCTGTACAGAGGTCAGCTCACCATAAATGACTTTGGGGCCCACTCCGCTGGGGCCGGTGGAAGGCGCGTGGGGCCGCCCTCCGGTGTTCTCCCCTTTAGTTGCAGAGCCCCAACTTGAACCGCCCAACAGCCCTAGTTCCACTTCAATAAAAGTCTGGGCCACCCTTGATCACGGGGGGCTCTCCTGACAGCCTAGCACAGCCTGGCCTAATTGAGCCCGGTCACCTGGGAATAGGTTCAAAGGCATCAAAGCTGTAAACCACCTCCAGGCCCTGTGCCAGAGCGGCCTGGCGAACAAAGACCCCCACCGCCACCCCCCCGCCCACTTCAAACGCGTTTGTGTGCCACGGCCAGATGGCGGGGCCCGGGCCCTGCACGCCTACCGCCCCGCGCAGGGCAGGCCCCCATCGGGGCTCCCTAGACGCCCCTCCACGCCCAGCAGGCCCGTGAGCGATGGGAGCGTCTAGGCCCAGGAGGAAGGGCAGCCAGTAGGGCTCCGAGACTCCCGCAGACTCGCGGTGGCTCAAAAGAAGGGCCCGCCACGACCGTCGGGGACATGTGACTGGCCGGTTAAGGGAGTTACGACCCGACACGCGGACTGGACCGGGCGCGCTCCTGTCGGGATCCATCTGCGAGTCAGCTGGGCCGGAGTCTTCAAAGGCCTCAGGAGGCCGTCAGTCCACGTCGGGACCGGTAGCCCGGAGGGGGTGTCCGCATCCGAGCCGGCGTCGGGCCTCTGGCGGACTCTCAGAGGAGCTCAGCCCCGGGGTTCCGTGGCGTGCTTCGCTCCCTCCGGGAGAGCCCTGGGCCGGCGCGTTTCGCCCAGTGGACCCTGCCGCCAGCGGCAACCTCTCCTCTTGGGGACGCGGACCAAGCCGCGGGGACCCAGGAACCGTGCGCTGGGCGCGGGGCGGGCGAGCTCGGCGGGGCGGTGCGCGGCGCGGGGGCGGGGAGCCTAGCCCCGCTGGCCAGCCCCCGGAGCCGCGGCCAATCAGCGCACCGGCCCGGCTCCCGGCCACTATTTAGCTTATGAGGTGATGGAAAATACTATGGGTTGGGTCA